TGGGAGCAACTCGCATATGAAATATTACTTAAAAGGTAAAAGGCACACCATCAACGTCAACAGGAAAAACAAAATCTACCTCCTTACCCCACATGAGGGGCACACTGTTAACGTTTGACGTCAAATCCAACTGGTGGAATTTGTTTTGATTACGAAAAAAAATTTAAAAATTCGGAAAAAAAAAACAATGCAAACTAAAGGTGGCGGCAAAAAGAGTAAACTGAGCAATCAGACCAGGTAAACAACTAGCGCGCCATTGAAACATGTGTATGTTTTTTTTTTTTCTTTTTTTTTTTTTGTATGAGAATATCGACACCTCGTTGCCGGTTATGCACCTCACGACAGAAAATCTATCACTGCAAACGTTGCTAGGTTACTGCTCTGCATTTCTCAGTTAATTCCCAATAATGACTTCAGCACCTGCATTCCTTCTTGATTTGATTAAGCAGCAGCCCTACTGGCTTTAGAAGAATATAACGGACTCATAGGACTAGCTCGGTGCGCTCTATATGGTGTTTCTGAGGTTGCACATTATCCACTGGAGTAAACGTGAGGCGAAACCGATCCATGGTTGCGGTAATTATCGACTCTGCTGGGCAATTATGCAGAACTATCGTTGTTCCGTGAAATAGTAAACCAAACTGGGTATCAATAAACTGAAAGATGTCGAAAAGACCAACTCCGAAAAAAGTATTGCCTTATTCAAAAACTACACGTCTAAAAAAACACCCTCTATTTTTAATATAAATACATCGTAATAAAGCAGTGTAATAAATTATTCATATATGAATATTTGACGTTGAGACACGTGTTGTTGTTGCTACTGCGCGACTTAAAATAACAACTAATTAATATTATATTTGCTCCATCTCACATTAAATTCAAGATGCTGGACATTACGGTAAATATAAATTAGAAATAAATAAAACACGAACGATATCACTCACAATGCTCCATTGCGAAATTACCGTTAGAAACGGTTACTCCCTACCACCCGATCAGCCTGCCGACTAGACAGTGGGGTTCATAAAAACACGTTATAGCTTTAGGGCAAATATTGATATTAGTCAACATCTCCGCTGCTCACGACCGGGCAGTGACGTCAAGTTTTAGCCAACTCATGTGAATGTTTGCACATCCAAAATGAAGACAGGAAAACAAGCAGAACACAGATAATACATACATATGTAGATATGTACATAAAAATCTGTAAGTTCCGCGGGCCACCATATTTACGCGTTTTTCAAGATAAGGCACTGGGCGCTGTGTAACTACCAGTGTTGACATTTTAGCTTTTTCCAGCTAGATTTAGCTGATTTTGCTTTTTTAGCTTTGACTTTTTTAGCTTTAACTTTTTTAGCTTTTTTCATAATAACGCTCAGCTGTTGTCATTTTAGTTTATTTAAATTTATTTAAATAATTTTGCTAACTAATCCTCAAAGATAAATTGAACGAAGCGATCAATGCATCATTGATTCATTTACGTGCAAACTGCTGCGCAGAAACTTTACTTTTAACCGGCCAAATTAAGATGGAAACGTGATCGGGAAAGGCCACACGAAATATACTCTCTCAGAAGAGAGTACACCTTTAAAGTTTTACGAGTCTTAACAGGTCTCTGCTAGATAGTACGAGGCAAGTAGTTTCTTTCAGGCGATGCTGTATAAGCTGTAAGAATGATAAAAAAACAAGGAACGGTCTCTCATCTCATATGCTATTGCCCTGCCTTGGGCATAGACAGATTCTGATATTTAGGTGCTGCTTTCATCGATGATTTGTATAAGATAGCAGATATAAAATTTACTTATGTAATGAAATTTATAAAGGAATCGAATTTTTGATGCTCACATATCGATAGACGCTTCAACCTAACCTAGACTACTTCTATGTATTTCATAATGACTAACCAATATTCATAAATTACCGTTCATTCTTTTTACAAGAGAAATATGAAATTAAATTTGTTCCTAATTGGCTTATTAAATTTTTAATATAACATGTATGAATGTGCTCGTCAGAACATATACGCGGTAGCCGAGTGGTTAGCATTGCGTACTGACATTCGGAAGGGTTGAAATCCCAGTGTAACCAACATCCAAAATTTATGGAAAATTAATTTAAATAAAAAATTTAGTGAAATTTACCAATTGCGGTCGCCCCTCCGAGTGTATTTGTGACTTGAAATAGAAACTCTTCATGAAAAAACTATCCGCCGTTGGCAGGCGGCTTAGCATAAACTGTAGATCGCTCCATTTGTTGGAAAAACATCAAGATGCAAAACCACAAAGCGCCAAATATATATTTGTATACATATATACATCTACATATATATGCTTACATACACTTTTTCATTATCATTATGAGAGATACTCAAAGATCCTACCTTGCCATCTATAAATACAAAACGTCATCAACTCTGCAAAATATTTATTTACTGTTATCATAAAATTTTATTTACTCGTATGCATGTTTTTATCAGAGGAAAGTGACTCATACTGAATATAATTTAGTTTTCTAACAGTCTTAGCTCTATTAGCTCCTCAATAATAAAGAACCAATATATTTGTTTTATTGTAATTCTTCCCTGCTCTTAATTTATTTTCTGTTGTCATTTTGATTAGTTTCACACGCTCAAAATTTCGGAGGGGTGACTGCAATTAGAAACATTTTTTTTCACTTAAATTATCTTTCTGTCATGTTTTTGATGTTGATCAGCCCGGGAATCTAACCTTTGACTTTCCGCATAAAAGAACGCACTACTCTCCACTCAGCTATTTTGGTGGCCAACCAATAGTGTACTGAAACATTGTAAATTATGTTAACAAAGCCTTATGTAATGCTAGGAATAATTATTGGTTCAGTTGCTACGGAAGAATACCGTCCCAGAAGTTACGTTTTGGCTTAAAGAATAAGATTGAAAAGTATGCGTGGAGTATAGTGTTTACAATTTTTTTGCCTCTTGAAATTTAAGCCCCTTTTGACTGCTCTTTACCTTTCACCTATACTTCTAACAATTTTCTTATTTTGCGACGAAAAATTTGCTAGTTTATCCTTCACTTCATCTTTAATGCAGACATGAATAGCTCGACGGCCCCTCATTCCCAATTTCGGTAATTACCGACTCTGTAAATGATGAAGGGTGGGCTTTACCAAGTCACCCCTTTCATCTGTAGCTGACTAGCTATTAGACTGTCTGAAAATACGGTGAGATTTTCAAACGGCTTCTCGAAGTACCTTCGTAAAATAATTATATGTTGAGTTCATTACTCATTGCGCACTAACGGTACAATTATTTTGAATTTGTAATTTTATTTATATAGGCCAAAGTGGTAAAAGACGAAATTTTTTTAACCAATTACATTTTTTTTTTTTTTGAATAGAAATGTCACAAGGAAGCGAGTTAACCGAGGCAGAATGCGTTTTCATCAAGAGGATAAGTTACGTGTGTAAAAGTCGGGGATGAGAAAAAATTTAATTTGAATGGAACTGATGGCCGTCATAAGAATTGGAGGAACTTACAACATTCAAGACACATCTGTTACAAGCGAAATCATGGCGGTAGATCTCACATAATATTAGCCGTTTTTAGTGCTAGAGGCAAGACGAAAATATGCTTCGTTCCGAATCGCTGGTTCCGAGTTGCTGGACAATGAACTGATACTATTTGGTGAAGATTTTCATGGTAATAATTGGACGTTTCACGAGCGACTCGAGCGGTTTTCAATTCACGCAACATTCAATTGTTTCAGTTGCTGCCTTAAATCCAGATCTCAATCCCATTGAGGATCTTTGCGGCAACCCCACAGAAAATAGTTAACTGCCTCGCAAAGTGAATCTTGTGAAGATCCATAAAGGAAACTTCATTCCATATTGACAATGTGATATGATATGATTTTGGTCACACATACATACACGTATGTATGAGTAAATAAATATTTTCTTTGAAGATTTTTATAAACCTATGATTTTTATTTTGTATAAAATTATAATAATATAAAGACATTGCGCATATAATTATTTTGCGATAGAAAATTGTAGCAACCATATATATCCAGCATATTGCATCTACACTTGCTCCCGCTATACCGATTTGGCACACTTAAGAATTATTTATAAATATTACAGGTCATTAAGGAATTCTCTGCCGGCATTTAATCCAAAATATCAAGCTCATCTTAGCATCCGAGTTTCAATTAGAAATGTGTTCAATATTCGGTCGCCCAGCAACATCGATAATTCCAGCAGTCCTAGATCATTGGACGCCTTGGAAGGGCATATTCGGCGAATTATTGCTGACATACGGCACGTATATTTACAAATCTATATTAGCAATTCTTTCAATCATTACCGCCTTCCTCAAAAATTAATTTTAAATTTACTGATCACTGATGTCGACTTTTTCTGTTCTCCCGTTGCAGGTTTCATAGCCTTATTGCTCAAACGAAGGCGATTCGGTAGGAAGCGAACAGAACATTTTCTTCACAGAATTCACCGCGATGTGACTTGAGTGTTATCTATTTAATAATTGAATTACGATTTCCATATTGTAGATATTGGGGCAAAACTGGCCGATGTGTGAAGAATCATCCCATTACAAACGCACATATTCATTTTCAAATTCGCAATTAGTCACCCGAAAGTTAATAAACAAAAAACGCATCGCACACACATAAATAATAAATACACGCAAAGCAAGAAATTGAGAAAAAGAACACACATTTAATCTTATCTATTACGAGATCTTATAAATTAAGGGGATAACATTTTATACAGGTTAAGAGACAAGCCAAGAAAATTATCCAAGAAACTGCAGCATCGTAAATTCTTAACCACAACAACACATCCGCAGATTCTCAACACGATGTGATCGTTATCTCAATCAATGTTTACAATAATTCGCCAAAAAGGTTAGAGTGTATTTTAGTCTTATCTTGACAATGCAGCTGAGTGAAGTTTCACCAAGATAAAATTTTCAAATAAAAGCTTAATGTGGCCCCTGGAATCCATTAGTAACGAAAAACTTTCGAACACAGCGATGCCTTCGACGAAAGTCTACACATTAGCCCCATTATTACTGGTAAATAATCGGTTTGTTAAAAGTAGTGTGGAAAATAATAAAAACGAAGTGATTGAATATGTGAAGAACAGCCTATGAAGCACAAATCGTTGACAAATGTGAATCAGTGTGTGTCTTACTTACAAATGATTTTTATTTCTCCACAGCTCGCTGTCAGCGTTTTAGCACAAGAATTGAGAAATGTGCAAGACATCAATTGTAATGGCAAAGAGTACGTTTGCGTCGGACCATTAAACTATAAAAGCTGTTTAGGCGATGGCCACGGTAATACCTATGCTACGGGTAACGCCATTCAATGCCCCCCAAACCACCGCTGCGTAAATGATGGATTAGACATTTGTATACCCCTTAAGCTGACTACGAAAGCTCCCCAAAAAGAAGCCCAAGTAGCTATAGAGCAAACATCAAATAGTTTCATTTCGACCGAAGGTCCAATCCAATCAAAGTCTGTAAGCTGGGACACCACATCAGCAGTGACAGATACTACAACAGAAGGTGTCACCACACCCATTGCAGAGTCGGGAATTCATGTTGCCGAAATTGGCGCTGCCGATGGCTCGATATGGACAACTTTTTTAACGGAAAACTCAAACACACTCATCGACACAACTACTGATACAATTTTTTCAGAAGGAACAACTACTACGCTCGATCCACAATCAACTGAACTAGTGACGTCTGAGACGCCTTTGGAAACAACGACAGATACCATTGCTGATACTACGACAATAAACTACGAAGATGAAATCTTAGGCACAAGTTTGTCGACTGGGACGACCGATCTTGACAACCTAAATTTTGAAACAACAGTTGAGCCCGACATTCCGACAGAATATTCGGAAGCAACTACTTATGCATTAGACACATCAACGCTTCTAGCCTTCGATACAACACTCATTTCAAGTGAAACAGGTCCTAATATACCAGAACAACCCAACGCTTCAGTCGATCCTAATGCATCAGTCGATCCCACCATCTCAGTTGATCCCAGTGCACCTGTAACACCAAGCTCGCCAGTAGACCCAGTCGATCCAACCGCCTCAGTTGATCCCAATTCTTCAGCGCTACCCGACTCACCAGCTGATCCTAATGTACCAGCCGGCCCTAACGGTTCAGTTGATCCCACTGCACCAGTAACACCAAGCTCGCCAGTAGACCCTGTCGATACAACCGCTTCAGCTGATCCCAATTCACCAGCGCTACCCGAATCACCAGCTGATCCTAATGTACCAGCCGGCCCTAACGGTTCAGTTGATCCCAGTGCACCAGTAACACCAAGCTTGCCAGTAGACCCTGTCGATACAACCGCTTCAGCTGATCCCAATGCACCAGCGCTACCGGACTCACCAGCTGATCCTAATGTACCAGCCGGCCCTAACGGTGCAGCTGATCCCAGTGCACCAATAACACCAAGCTCACCAGTAGACCCAGTCGGTCCGAACGCATCAGCTGATCCCAATTCACCAGTGCTACCGGACTCACCAGCTGATCCTAATGTACCAGCCGGCCCTAATGGTTCAGTTGATCCCAGTGCACCAATACCACCAAGCTCACCAGTAGACCCAGTCGATCCGAACGCTTCAGCTGATCCCAATTCACCAGCGCTACCGGACTCACCAGCTGATCCTAACGTACCAGCCGGCCCTAATACTTCAGTTGATCCCAGTGCACCAATATCACCTAGCTCACCCGTAGACCCAGTCGGTCCGAACGCTTCAGCTGATCCCAATTCACCAGTGCTACCCGACTCACCAGCTGATCCTAATGTACCAGCCGGCCCTAACGGTTCAGTTGATCCCAGTGCACCAATATCACCAAGCTCACCAGTAGACCCAGTAGGTCCGAACGCTTCAGCTGATCCCAATTCACCAGTGCTGCCAGACTCACCTGCTGGTCCTAGTGCGCCAGCCGGCCCTAACGGTTCTGTTGATCCCAGTGCACCAATATCACCAAGCTCACCAGTACACCCAGTAGGTCCGAACGCTTCAGCTGATCCCAATTCACCAGCGCTACCTGACTCACCAGCTGATCCTAACGTACCAGCCGGCCCTAACGGTTCAGTTGATCCCAGTGCACCAATAACACCTAGCTCACCAGTAAACCCAATCGATCCAAACGCTTCAGCTGATCCAAATTCAGCAGTGCAGCCCAACTCACCAACGGATCCAAATTCTGCGGCCGGACCTAACGTGTCAATTGATCCCATTGTACCAGTAACTCCAAGCTCACCAGTAGACGCAGTCAGTCCGAACGGTCCTGCATCGCCAGGGTTACCAAAAGATCCAAGAAGACCAGTTGGTCCGAACACTTCAGTCGGTTCCAATGCAGCAGTGCTGCCAGGCTTACCAATTAACCCAACTGATCCAAAGCCATCAACTAGTCTCCCTTCACCGGTTAGCCCTCATGGTACCGTCCCCAACACTTCAGTGGATTCTAATACAGCAACAATACCCAATCGTCCCGTTCGTCCTAGCCATCCAATGTGGCCCCATTACCCCAGTCATGGAATTATTAGTCAGAAAAAAGATCAAACATATTATAGCAAGTGGCGTACTGATCGTCCGGGTACTTTTGATAATCATTTTTGGTCAATATGGGGTAATGGGATACAAATTCAAAAAGCCGCTACACCTGGCTTGCCTTTAACCCCAAGCAAACCAAAACACAGCCCTCAAGAAGCAATGGAAGAGGAATCTAGTGAAGTAAATTCTTCTCTACCTAAAGACGATTTGTCCGATGAAGGAAAATCAAATAGCAAGAGTAGAGAGTCAAAAGAAAAAAGGAATTCTAAAGATGAAAAGGATAATCAGAAGAACGAAGACGGTAATTCAAGTGAGTCTTCAGCCGAAAAACGTCGTAAGGAAAATTCATCAGGCGAAAATAAATCAAATTCGAGCAGCAAAGAGGCCAAAAACAATAACGATTCTAAAGAGAAAAAGGTTAAAGATGATAGCAAAAATGATGAAGAGGAATCCGATGGCTCAAGTGAACAAAAGGAACTAATTAAGAAAATAATAAAGAAACTCAAGGATAGCAAATGTGACGAAGACGACATATTTCCAGATCCTCGGGATTGTAAGAAATACTACAGATGTATAGAAAAATCACATAAAACGAAGGTCGCCCACCTACGTTGTGAGAGCGGAGAGAGATTCGACTCCGATAAACTAAAATGCGTTGAAAAGCGTAAAGCGAAGTGCTTCTCTGAGGAAGATTTCATTGAGGAGTTTTCTGAAAGTACGAAATGAAACCATCGACCAAAGAAACATGAAAAGCAATTGTTTATTACAAAAACATGAAATTAAAGCTTCGACCACAAAAGTACTTTTCTTGCAGCTTTGAGAAATTCATGAACTCCATTACTTTATTTCCCAAATTCATGTACTGATCTACATGACTATTAACTATAATGGTAGCTTATGACCCACAATTGTTTAAATTCCTGTACCTTACATAAATTAAAATAATTATTATTTTGTAGTTTTCGGATTTAATTATATTTAACGAAGTTATGATAATCCCATTGGAGCAAAATCTATAAATCTTATTAATGCTATTCACTTCAAGGATTTTGTCAGGATCGACATTTAATCAAAGTTTTTAAAAAGCAATAAAATACATTTTTTCAGCCCCACTCTTCTTATACTTAAATGGTATTTCGAATTCACTGCAGGTTTGGAATAAAATATATGTATATGCATAAATCTAGAAAAAAACTACGATTCACGAACTACTGAGGATATTATAGAGGTGGAGGTTCTTCACTTATGGAAAATTTCGGGAAAGGTGAGAGAGAAGTAATTTGAATAAATTCCTGTCGAGAGGCCCAATTTTCGACCACTCCATTCTGCAATCGGTGGCATACATATGTTGGCAATAACGCGCCGAATATACCCGTCCAAGGCATCCATTGTCTCGGGCTTGTCTGCCTATGCAAGCGACTTCACATAACTTCATACAAATAATAGACCAGCGGTGTTAGGTCTCACGATCTTGTAGGCCACTCCACAAGCCCAGGAATTGCATTGAATTAAATTTTTCAACGATTCTAGATTTTATGGAAAGCTGTCCGAGGTAACCACCGTCAGCTGAGACAGTCAACGTGGCAGCCAATTAAGAAATAGACCGTATGAACATCGTAAGCTTTCTTTATTTGTGCAATATTTAATAAAGAAAACATTTAATACGAAAGAACTACAAATTTAGAGTGACTCGTACAAGTGTTTTTCATCCGAAGACCGACTCATTAGCCATATTACATTAGTTGTACATTAGTTGTGCAGATAAAAATTGTGTTTTCGTAAAACACGGACATGCATGAAATGTCAGAGTCAAACCATGATCCACCTCATCATAGCATGGGAGTATGCCATGGAGATTATTTTATAGAGTAACTTCGAAAAATTACATTCGTACATACCGTTTAGTTTCGAATACAATCGGCTTTTGCGAAAAACCAATGGACCTACTTTACCCTCTTCATAAATAAATTAAGAGCTCAACTCCATCTTTTTCATAAAATTTACACAAGTTAAATTTTGTTGCACAAATATTATAATATTCTGCGAACCTGCAGAGTTGGTTGCTTGCACAAGAGAGATCACAAAATTTTGGTACTTTTTGACAGTAAACCCTTTCCTTTCCCTGGACATATCTTCCAAAGCGCGACACTTATATTCGGCAGCTGCTGGTAAGCGTGCGTTCCGAAGACCAAAGAAGAAATCAGCCAAGGTGGGAATGTGATATCCGTCTGATGTAATATTTTCTCTGTCTGGTGCCAATTTCGGATGCGTTCTAGCCTGCCTACCCCTCGTTTCTGAAATCGAGCTGAATCACAGCTCAGCACCGGATATGACCCAGACTTTACCCTCTCACCCTTTTGGTGAACTCACCTCGTTTCGTTTAGGTCATCGAGTTAATCCAGTCTAAGTGCATCAACACCTAGCAGTAGGGTGCCTTCATACCATTCTCATCAGGGCTTATGTAGAACCCGGATTAATTATTGTGCATATGTCAAAGATGACTCCACCATTCTTCTATCTCTCTCGTTCAAGCCTTAAGACCCACTTCGGGTATTTAACGCCATACCTCCATGGTCCAGCGGATTTCTTGGCAGCATGACTCCCAGCTTATTTCCTTTCCCCATTCCCTCTATCGCTCCGAGGCAGACCAGACTTAAACATCTTAGCATCTTAATCGACTTCATGAGCCGGAAACACCCGCAAAAAGCTGCTGTCCAGACATCTAAGCTGAAAAGACGCTCACATCTTTTGAGCAACAGCGGATACAATATAAAAAGTAATAATGTCTAACAAGATCATGGTGTTCCTTCACAAACTCGTGCCGCATCGTCTTATCAACATGACATCAACCGCAGCCATACTACCTAAAACCTAGCCCTATATGCAGCTATGAAAACCGAGTGGTTTTGTGCGATTTTAACGCGCATATAGATAGATGAAGGGATGTAAGACTCATAGAAAGACTCCAGAACGATCTTATGGACAATCCCTCGCCAGCTGTTGTTTGGCTATATACCCTGTAAGAACGGGCAGCACTAATCCATAAACTCTTTTTTTATCCTTCTCTTCTGAGTACATATAAATTGAAGGAGAATGCTGTTGAACGTATAGTTCGTCTTATTTTATGTTCTTATTTGCGAGTAGAACGCAATTTTTATAGTTTTCTTCGTAGCAGATAGCAGAGAACATAATAAAGTGAGAAATATGGATAAGAATACTACACAAGCTGTGGTAAAAATAATTTTCATATGCAGATTTTTTAAAGAAATTTATTTCTGTATTGTTATTTCTTTTGTATGCTGTATAAACCATGTAAATGATCTGTATAAAATATTGAAATAAAGACTGAATCTTAATAATGTTTGTGTGTATGTATATTTGTAGCAAAAATCTTTGTCAAAGCTGATTGACTTTGGCATCAGTCCTGTCGCTCATCTGTATTCGGCTTGAACGGCACTGTTACGCTTTATTACGTCAATATTGTTTTCTTTTGGTATCAATGCTGCCGCTCAGCTGACAAGAAAGATGAAAATGCACAAGGAAACGAAGAGAGAATGACGTACCCGTATAGAAATGTAATCATCACATTTGTCATTTCGGCATTAAGAAAATGATGGGAAAATCGTTCTACGAGCTGAGGGCATACGACATCATGCATTACTGACATATGTTGACTCAAATGATAGCAAACCTTCTAGCAGTGAAGCCTACTTACAGGGTATTTTACTTCACATTTGGCCTAGCGCTACCTAATCCGTATTTAGGTTTTATTTTTTAATTTTACCATTTAAAAATCACGTAGTTAAAAATACACTACGCAGAAACGTGAACACCATCACCATTATTTTAATGAATTACAAAGCATAACATCCAACACCAAATTTCTTTGAATTGGCCCTTTATGCTAACTTTCAAATTCAGCTGTCATAAAATATTTTACGATCTCTTCTGCTATATTTAATTCGCTTAATTTTAGTCAAAAAGTGTGGCGTGGGGCCCACTCAACTCATAAGCTTTATTTCACGCGTGTGTCTTAGGGGTCTTTGTTTTCCTACTACCTTCTATGAATTTGCCCTGATTTATGGACTTCAACTTAAATGAATTCGCCTTGGTTTATGCGCCAAAAACTTCCGAATAGCGCCAAGATGAGCTCATATGTTGATTACCAAGACAATAAAATGGATAGTGAAGATTTGAACTCGTTAAATTTCAATAAACAAAAACTTAATAATGGTAGCGGAATGAACAGTTGTTCTGATAAAACGAAAGAAATTGATCTGGATAATAATCGCGATGAGCAGCAGTACTTGGACTTGATAGAAAGAATAATATCCACTGGTAAATTTAAATTCACGTCGTGATATGGATCTTGAAATATAATTTAGTACGAATTTCGCAGGTGTAGATCGATCGGATCGTACTGGAGTGGGTACTCGATCAATTTTTGGTGCTCAAATGCGCTTTGATCTCCGCAATAGTTTTCCATTATTAACTACAAAGCGGGTATTTTGGCGTGCCGTTGCTGAGGAATTGCTCTGGTTTATTCACGGTAATACTGATGCAAAAATACTTCAAGAAAAAAATATACATATATGGGATGGAAACAGCAATCGAGAGTTCCTTGACAAATGTGGTTTCACCAGTCGTGAAGAAGGCGATTTGGGGCCTGTTTACGGTTTTCAGTGGCGTCATTTTGGTGCCAAATACCGTACTTGTAAGGAAAATTACAAGGGTGAAGGCATAGATCAACTTCAACAAGTAATTGACACTATCAAAAACAACCCTAATGACCGAAGAATAATAATGTCTGCATGGAATCCCGTTGATATCCCAGAAATGGCGTTACCACCTTGTCATTGTCTTGCGCAATTTTTCGTTGCAAACGGAGAGCTGTCCTGTCAATTGTACCAACGTAGCGCCGATATGGGATTGGGCGTACCGTTCAACATTGCTTCGTATTCTTTACTTACCTACATGATTGCACATATAACTAATCTTCGTCCAGGTGACTTCGTGCATACTCTTGGAGACGCTCATATCTACAAAACGCATATTGAACCGCTAACAGAACAAATAACCCGTAAACCTCGTCCGTTTCCTAAATTGATTATAAAGCGTGAACTCAAATCTATCGAGGACTTTACTTTTGATGACTTTGAAATCATTGACTATAAACCATATCCGAAAATAAATATGGAAATGGCAGTTTAGTATAAAAAATAATATTTGAATTGATTACAAAAACACTCACTTGTATGTATACATATTCAGTATTCCAAATTTCATCCTTCCAAAACCTCATTTTCCTTGACATGTAATTTATCGTGTGATGTTTTTTTTATTCACTAAAGAAATTTTGTTAAGTTTTAAGCATTTCAGTCCCTGCCTGTAATCTACGGTGACTGTTAAAGAACACTATTGAATTACAAATCAAATTAAAGTATTTATATATCAATGTAAGAAAGTTAATCTTCCTCTATTGGGATCGCACTCTGCCACTCGTTCGGGTTAACGAAAATGTCGGATATAGTGCCTCGCAAAGTAAAAATTCCACGATTAAGCGGGACCGGTCGCGGTTTCTTATCTACCTCTCCCAACCATTTTTTCCAAGCCTCGGCGGCCATTTGCCGCCTCTGTTCTTCCATAACACGCCGTCGCTCTTCCTCCTCCTTTTTAATTGTTCGTCGTCGCTCGTCCTCCAATTGTTTAGCGCGTTCCCAAGCGTCAACTTTAGCTTGCACCTCTTCATCGATTATTTGTGATTTTATTGGTTTTCTTTCCACATCCAGACTTGTTTTAATTATCTCACGTGGACGAGTTTGTCGCGATTTCGTTTTTAACCACTGTTGAAACTTTTCTTCAGAAAGCCGCTTTCTCGCTTCCTGTTCCTTACGTTTCTGCTCTTCTGTCTTTCGGCGACGAGCGGCTTCGTCAGAAATAAGTTTTCTATGAAAGTATAAGCAATTTTAAACATTTTTTTTAATGTTATGATGCCCTCACCTTTTGGCAGATAACCATGTCTCGTAAGCCAGATCTGGTTTTAGAACAATTTTAGCTGCCTCGCAGTGTTTTCTATAAGAGAAGGTGTAATCGCGTGTTGTGGGATAGTTATCCTCGGACTGTAAATCTAGTGGTGGAACAATATCACTTTGGCTCTCCGAGGGTAACTGCATTTTATTTTCTTCGTTGAAACTACTTGTTTCACTTTGATCAGGTGTTTTTTCAATGAAAGCAGCAGGATTAATGTATCTAGCAATTACATGAATATACGTATGTAAGTCCTAAGTTAAAAAAAAATTTTTTTGATCTGAAAGATAGTTTTGATACCTCACGCTGGCCTTAGTTTCGCAACTTCGTGAACTTATATTAACGCGGGATGTATTAGTACTTGTGCTACTAGCGCTCAGTGAAATAGCTAAGCTTCTTGCCGAATGGCGACGTTCTATTTCATTTCCGTTTTCATCAACCCTAGTAGTATAGAAGGCCATGGTTAAGTATTCCACAGCTTCAATGTTTGTCTCTTTACCGAAAGCACAAGTTAATAAGTAAAAACTCTTTCTAAGAATACTTTATAAATATATTTTTTTTTATATTTTTGATTATTTGGATAAAAATTTAGATAAAAATTCACAAAAAATGGATTATCTCGGAATAAATATTTTTTAAGATATTTGAAGTATAATTATGAGTGAGATAGAATAGGTTGCCAATATCATAATTTTTTTCCTTAACACAGTTCACCTAATTACAGTAAGCCTAATAAACAAACTTATTAAATTTGTCAAACTGTAGAAAACAGCAAAAAAAAATTGTTTAATGAGTTTAAAAACATTGGTAATTTTTGAAATAAGTCACCATAAAAATGGTAAACTTTCTATTTAAAGAAATAATATATACATAAATAAGTATATACTACACATTTCAACGAGTTGAGTTTTTCTTTGGGCCTGTGTGGTCTCTCTTCATTTTCCTTAAATAAAATGACTATTTAACGAGTAAATTGGTGAACTTGCATTGCTGGTTTAATATTAGTTTTGATGCCAGCTGGAGCCTTGTTTATTTGGGCAACTCCTCCTGGACTAACAGATGACATAGGAGCTGAGGCTCGTAGAGGTGGCACCATCATATTTCCTGGCCCTGTTTGTACGTTTATTGGAACATTTACTTTCAGTCCTTTACCCATTCCAACTGCAGCAACTAGAGCATGAGTATCTGCCATACTGCTTGTTTGTTGAATCCCTAGGAAGAAAAAATAATTATATATATGCAAACACTTCGCCATTGACAGTGAATTTAATAAACCTGCTCTTGTTGAAGATTCCATTTCCCATTCCTCACGAGCTTTACTAACCATGTCTAATACATGAGATACGACTTTGTTGTACTGTGTTACTTGCTTCATTGCTGCTTCCACAGTCAAATTAGCTGCTTTCTGTTCACTTTGAATTATTTTTTGTTCAGTTAAAGGATCCGGTTTGGTACGCAAATAATCGGGAACAATGTCGTGTGAAAATACGGGAACACGTCCTTGTGTAATATTTACCAAGGACTCATCACGGTCTTGCGACAAAAGTAGTGGCAGAACGGTCCGGTTACGTAGAGGTGGGCAGACTTCTTTAGCTAGGATTTTGGACAACCCTGTCAACTGAAAGGATGAAATTATCTTTATTTACATTTTCATTACAAGTTTAGGGTAACTTACATGACTTGATATTATTGCAAAATTATCTAGAAAGCTTGGCCAGTTAATTATTTCATATTCGGTTTCAAGTTTTTGTATCATCCCACCAATCGACATCTTTAAATCATTTAGCCTACTCAAAATAGCGTCCAACGTCATTTCCATTTGTTTCTCCTCCCGTTGCATTTTTAAAGTTTATTACAAAACTGTCGGTAAATAGCCCGAGGCGTTGTTTAAATATATGCTTCGAGGAAGCAGAAAAAATAGAAAGTTTTAGCAAAGAATGGAAAATATCTTAATATAAGTAAGTTCTCTGCTGTAGTATTCACAACAATTCCACGATAAATAAGAAATTGTAGGGATTTAACAAGGTTGCCTTATCTGTTGCTTTGCCAAATTACTGCCAGGCGAATTAATAACAGTAAAATCACTGAACGAATATGCAGAGCACGTAAATGAATTTGATATATTCATATACGTTCTTTGGTTCTTTGATGCTTGTGAGAACGTCAATCAACATCAATTTTAGTTTTTTTGCAAATTTTATCATGTCGTAGGGAAAATGTTTGTTCATAAAACGTAGAAAAAGGAAGAGCTTACGGATTATTAAGATTTTGTACGTTTTGCTTATACGTATTCAAATGGATGAAAATATGACGAAAAACTTCATATACGTTCTTTTCTCACGATCTCTGCGAAGTTCTCTTTTGCTGCAAGCTGTCAAAATAAACTGCATTATCGTCATACTGCTTTGTTTCCGTCAATTTTGGACATATGCACATTTGACAAACAAGTGCGAATCACACCAAGATTTAGGGCTGAGGTTGAAAATCTTCATTTGTGATAAAAGTTAGTGTTTTATTTAGTTACGTTGCTAAAGTAAAATAACATATTAGTAGCATTTATAACTTTGGTCCAATTTGAATGCAAACGGACGGAAGTTGTGTAGTAACCAACTCGCAACAAAGTCAGCGAGTACCGAGTGGCTACATTGCATTGACGAGGAAAATTTAAAAGCGATAAACGAAGAAACTATTTAAACAAAAACCGGAACCACGGTCACAATATGCAAACTATTAGTGAGTCCTATATATACACCCATTCCATTGAGTGCCAAAATCATTCTGTTTCATTTGTAGAACGTGAGCGTAAACGCTATCAAAAGGATACTGCGCCCGCAGATGATATAATAACACTAATACATTTAGTGCGTCAGAATCCTGCACTATATAACTATAAATTGGAACCAAATCAAAGACGTCGGATTGATGTTTTAAATGGGTGGACAGAAATAGCGGCACAAATTGGAAGTAAGTCACAAAATCTGTTTGTTTTAAAAATACATTTAATATATATGTATAATAACATTTATTTCCCCCTATATCAATTATCTATTGCTTCTAAATTAAGTATCTTTCAATTTTTAGACAGATATACAGTAGAAGAGTGTAGGCGTAAGTGGAAAAATTTGAGGGATACTTACCACCAGTATCGACTACGTAAACCAAAACCTGGCGATGGTCTATCGAAATGGCGCTATGCCAAGGAGCTCGAATTTCTTTCGAGTATATATCAGCCAAAGTTGAAATCACAGCGTCACCAAAATTACCTAATGGATACACAACGATCGAGTTTGCATGATCTGGGTCGATCTGGTAATGCAGCGACAAGATTAAAAGAAGAACATAGCGATAATGATATGGTTCATCATTCGAGTACGGCCATAACTTTGGTGAACGACGATGAAGCATTTATACTTACTGCATATGAGGAGAGTGTTACAGACGATGTTACAACTATCGATCATGGAGGCCACGATGATCCAAGTATATCGTCACACATGGAATTAACACATGATGACGATGATGTCGAAGATGTTCAAGAAATAGTTAAAAACGAGCATGGCTCTTCATTAGATGATGGGACAGGCACTGAAGTACACTACGAGGAGGTGTGTATGTATGAAGAAGCTGGAAATGGGCCTAGCGTTGATTGTGAAACTATTATTGGTGCAGGCGGCGTAGTTCGTAGTTCATCGACTGACTCGAAAAATTTTACGTATGAAAACTGTGCTTTGTTATTTATATTATAAATCTATTTTATACTTTTCATTTTAGCACCGCACATCATCACCACCATACCCACTCTACTGCTGATTCTTTCACCTATTCGATGAATGATTTTTGTATCGAATCAATTCCACATCTACCAAGCGCAAGTGGTGGCGGAGTTGAAAGTGGCAGCGCCAGCGCCAGCAGTAATAGCAGCGTTATTGGAAATCCCAAATTGAAAAATCTAACAACATCGGCAATTGTTACAACACCCGTAGTGGTGAGCAATAACTCCAACAATAATCAGAATATCGCACAACAACAAACAACAACTTCATCCATACTACAATTACAATCTCCCAATTCTATGGCATACAATGGGCAATCTCGTGAAGAGGAGCTGGATTTGTTTTTTGCGTTTCTTAAACAGAAAATGCAGCGCTTTTCTAAGGAAGAAATTACTTTGATGCAAGTTGAGTTTCTTCATTGTGTGCAGAAACATGAAGCCGAACGCAAATATAACGGTAGTGGCGCCGGCGATGCCTCAATACTACATCAATAAGCTAAAATTGAATTTATTATAGATTTGAAATTTGTTTATATTTAAATGTTTTGTGTATTTAATGCACTTCATAATGCTGCTATGTCATATGAAAGAAAACCTTGTAAACAATAAAATTATTTATCAATATATACTATGTACCTTGTACTATGTTTATATGTACATACATATGTTAGGCGTATTACAACTTATTTGGCGCAAGGACTTTTATTATTTATATCTCACAAGAAACTAATTGTTCCATAACTTGATCTAAAACTAAATACAATATCAGTGTTGTTTTATTATTGGACTGAATCTTTTGCTTTTATTTATAGTTTTCAGCATTTTACTGGTACCCATTTACGATATCATTAACCAAAATTATACCGCTCTATATTCACAATTTAACTTAAAACTAAAATAATGAAATTGAAATTTTGTAAAAGAAATTACAGTTTATCAATAACATTCAATAGATACCGACAAAAAGCGATGTAAAGCATACAAATTAAGAGTGCTTGATATTCAGTGGTTATGGCTAAGACTTAAAATAATTTATAGGAATTTACAAGGAACAAAGAACTCTTCTAATCATAAGCAATATTATACAAACGTAAAGGCGGAAGTAGGGATGGCTTGGCGTTTGGTTAAACAGTAAATATGTTGCGTTGATGTATGTAATCTATGTATTTTCACTAAGTTTCGTTATGTATTCGGAATTAAAATAGATAACTGTTATCGTTATATCATCACGATATAAACGCACCACATCCTGAGGTAACGATAGATAATAAGCGATTTTCGAATGCTCAATACCGTAATCGGTGCCACCCAAAGCATTGCGTATTAAATGTGTTGCAGAGTTCTGATCCAATGGTTTTCTAGCACGGCCAGCCCTAAACGTACGATTAGATTATTAAATTATATTTGAGTTAGATGAAAAGTATGTTAATCATCGGATATGCTAAAATCGTTATAACATTCATGAACGTAGGTAATATGCTTGTTAACTAATAATATTTAATATTTAAAAATCACAAAGGACATTACTAGATAAATAGAGATAGCCTTTCTTGTAATATTCTTTCATATACTTCTGAACATACTACGCACTTAACAATAAAACACCTTTCTTCGTTCATGTAAGTTATAAAAAAAAATGTTAATTGTCAACGTACTTTCGTTCCGCTAACAATCTGGACACTTCTAGTAACGTAACATCCCCAGTTGGTAACTTCATGGGCTCCAGCACCTTCTTGGAATTTAAGTGTTCTCCAACTAAACTTACTACCTCTGACGGCGTTATAAAATCCCACAAACCGTCGCTAGCAATAACTAAAAATTTATCGCTCGGCCCTAATACATGATGTTGTACCTCTGGTAGCGCTGTTAAATACGGTGGTGTATAATAATGCGGTGGAACAGCGTGTTCGCCAAATGTAGGAACGACATATTGATCCATTATTTCGTTGCTCCACTTATAACGGAAGTCTCCAAGAGCACGTAATGGTGCCAATTGTCCTAGCAATCGCTCATTGCGTATAGCCGTATCTTGCTCCTCTTTGGGATGCTCTCCTAAGATTCGTTGCACCTCCTTAAGATTATCGGAATTGTGTTCGTTGTTCATCTTTTTCGACTGCCATTGTCCAGTTTCCGGACATTGTATCCCCAGAACTGCTCCACAATCACCAGTGCTGGCAACATGCAAATTTAAATGATCAATATGAGCTACACAAGCAACAGCGCCTAAAAATGAGTTAAGGTTTAATATCTTCTCAATTTGTGTATTTACTATGCAGTGTTGTGAAAGTGAATTAATTGTGTCGTGCATTGATTGTACGTTAAAAAATGTATGATGATGTAAAAATAATATGCTACATATATTAATGCATTCAAATTGTAAACATTTTCACAACTTTATTTTAAGAGACCTGACATGGCAACAGACATCGTTCTCATATTTGTGTGATTTAGTGCTTCCCTTGACAAATCCTCATCTAAGCGCATAAAAGCGTTTGTGATTTCTAATGCGATATCTTCTACCGCTTGACTAGAAATTGTGTGAACGTAATCTTTAAAACTATGCTCGTAAATATTTTTAATTTCGGCTACGAAGTCCGCCTGCATGTGGAAACAGTATTGTTAATTACGGGGCTATGCTGAAATTATACGGTGTTTTACCTTATCATTATGGCACTTTAGGAAAGATTGGCTGTTATAGTCTTTGGCAATCACTTCTTTTAATGTCCTTCTATCTATGACACCGGCAGCAACATACCGCAACAAACGTTTGGAAATAACCTGTGAGCAAGCAGGTCCGCCATGGCCATCAAATACTCCACATATAAACCCTTTTGATTTTAAAACGTTACATCTATATGTACATATGTATGTATATATTTTTTTTTATAGAAAACCACTTACCACTTTTATGCAAAAACGTAGCTTCAGTACGAGAATCTTCACAAGGTTTATTTGAACTCAATTGATTAGACTCGTAGCTTCTTACAATGCTGTCATCTTCAGGAAATGTTTGCAGATATTCGTTCTCACGCAAAATTAAATTGACCTAAATGAAAAACTGTGTACTATCTCTATTATTATTATTTGATCATGTTATGTTACATCGTATGCTGACAAGTTGGGTAGCTGTGCCTCTTGGCGAATCGTCACTCGGAATTGACGCACCGCACCGCCAACATTGGAGCAGTTGGGTTGCCGCACACAGACGACGCTATTACGTAGGAGTAGTGTTAGCATCGAAACTCCGCACGTTCGACTTGCAGAGCGAACGTTTAGTAAATAATAATCCTTTCAGCTTTTAGTGAACAATTTTCGAATAAATAAACAATCTGAAGGATTTTTCACCTTTTATGACATTTTTTTCTTTATGCACTATTAATGACAAATTTAACAGGGTTGCTTCGGTCACCTTGAAAAGAGATTATTACAAACCAACAAGGATTATTAAACGAAGTTTACTTGTTGTGCATATGCAAACTATTTTTTATCTTACGACTTTGTACGCCTCAAAAAATGCGGTATAAAATTAATAATTGCCCTAAATGGAATTTGTTTTTCTTTTATAATTTTGACAACTCGAGGTGCACTGGACTGTTGCCACCTTAAAATCTCTAACTGAAATATGTGGAATGGTGCCACATATCATGATAAGAGTTGTTACGTATTTGAACAAAGATCGTATATAAATAAATGTACGTTCTTTGATATGAATAAGAAGGGACAAGAATCATTTGTTCTTTGTCCAATTTTTAATTGACTAATATACGTTCTTTGGAATGGCGTGAAGAGGTCGCCAACTCCTGAGACTAACCATTCAATCTACGCTCTTTCTCAAAAAACCAATTAACGATACCGTCATGCAGCTTCTTATTGATATACGTTCTTTGTCCTGGGACAGACTCTACCGCGTTTGCCTTAAGAGCGTATGAGTCTTGTCGCTTTTTATTCATATACGTTCTTTGGCGCACTTTATGGAGCTGGTAACAAATGAACTCTTCATTTTCGGTAGCTGTGCAAAGATCACCTTATATAATGTAATATACTCCCGTATACACCTGATCAGAGTTGCCGGTGGTTGATATTAAAAATACCTGATTTGTTGTGTAGGTGGGAGCTGTCAATGCGAATTAAAATTAGATTTTCCTATAAAAACTTTTAATTTTGCTTATGATGAGGAATATATTACGTTTAAACCATTTAATTAGTCAAAAAGAGGAGAAGTCTTACTTTTTCAGTAATAACTAAATTTGAATGCAAACGGTAGCACTGCACCTGTTCTGTCACAACTTTTCGAGGGTGTTTATAAATTTTCTTCTTCATCCAATCAGAGAGATTTTTCAGTGCAGAGAACGAAAATTAGTGAAAGAAAAAACGAAATACGATTGGAAAATCATAAAAAGCTTTTATAAAATGAGTGGAAATGTTTTTCAAAAAGAAATTTATTGCGTCTAGAAAAAAAGATTGTTTTTATTGAAAAGTGAAAAATTCCAATAAGAAATATATTTGTAATTGTCGTCGTGGTCGCTAAAGTTTCGTTCGCGTTCTTCTTCGTTTTCTACATTCGATTTGAGCTAGATATTTTTACTTCATAATACGAATTGAAATTTCCATTAGTTTTCCATCAAAAAGGTGAGAAAGTGAACGACGAATCTTTAAATACGATATGTATCAAGTTGAATATATTGGATTTAATGCTGATGTTAATAAAATAATAAATTTGAGCATTTTAATTACTTGAGTAAACTGGTACATGAAGCTAAACAATTTTCAATACGTATATACATACATATGTACATATATCGAATTGAGTAGTTGTTCATTTGCATTTCATGAACACATCGGAGTAAAGAAGCAGACATTAAATGTAGATGTAACAGCTGCATCTGCATACAAGTAAAAAAGCTGTAGTGACAGTGCGAAGGCATTTGATGCAGCGTCAAGAGAAGCTTCGGAGGACAGGTAAAGTGGGTGAGAATACATGCGTTGTTGGGCTGTTGGCATTTAATATATAACATCTACATAATATGTATAGGGTATGTGAAGTCGGTAGGCGAGTTTACATGCATATGTTTCAATTTGTGCATTTGTAATTTAATAATAAGTTAAAGTTACAAAATGTAATAGTTAAAAAAATTATGTGTACTTTTTGTTGGTAGAATAGATGCGAACCACGAAAAAAAGCATAAGGGAAAAGGTTATACACATACTGGTTGGTAAATAAGTGAAAGCTGTAATGGAAACTGCCTTACAATGGTTGCTACAAAGTGCATAATGATATTTACATTTTATTTGCTTACCTCTAAATTAAAAAGTTGTTAGGACCTTTGGCTTGGACCAGTAATCAAAAATAAAGTAATAAATGTAAAGCTCAGATGGATATATTTATATATATTTAGACACTATCATTTTTTGCGTCTAATTTACTCTATCAGTTCGAATATACCAAAAAATATGTTTTGTTAGTTTTAATTAAGTTGACTCAAACCATATTTAGTTACAAATCACTCCCCTATGGCGGCTTCTCAAGCAATTACAGAGCGACAATCTTATTCTAGTATGATGTTTTTACAATAAATGGAGAGACCCACAGTTTATACTAAGTCGTCTGCGAACCGCTGTTGGTTTTCTTATTAGAAATCTTTATTTCCCACCCCCTTAGAAAAAATAACTTAATTTTTATTTAAATTAAGTTGTTGCTTTTTAGAAGTTTGTCCAGCCAGAACTTGGACCTTGGCCTTCCGAATGGTAGTATGTTATGATATATTACGACAGCCAAGGAAAGCTATCCGTTGCACCGAGGAACTAAAGCCCGCTTGCAAGCATGTCACTGTCCTTGTTGTGTCTTGTTGTCTGTACGTACATACATGTATATGTATGTATATGCATATATGTACATATGTATGTGTGTGCATAATAGTCGTTATCTCCATCAGAATTTTGTCTGGTTCTTCTTGTAATGAGATACTTACAGTTCTATTTTGTAAAGAGTTTCTCCTTATTTCCTAAATGAAAAATTTATATTCCATATTAGATGTGGCCAGACTTAAAAAAAATTAAGTATTATATTTGACTTACACCTACATCCATATATAAAGTCCAGCTCATACAACAACCGAAGCTAGGTGACCATTCACAACGAAGCACATTTATCCCGCGGTGGGATACGTATAAGCAAAAATTTATTATTGGGGATTCGAGAATTCTCAAATAATTAAAGAGACGACATTGCACCTAAAAAAAATTACTCTTTCATCATCCCTGGTGCGCTCTTTCATCAGGAGTTGTGATTGGGACTTAATTCTGTGAAAACGAAAACAGCAAAGCTCACTTTCATTTCGGAGCGTTATGGTCATTTCATAACTGATTTCGGTCTACCATTGCCACGAAGTGCCATTTTTCTTTATGGGGCCACGCAAAAGACCGAGCTTTTTCAAATACATCTTCAACTCAACTCTTGACCACTTCAAAACCAACATCCGACAAGTTAGAAACTGCCCAAACCAATATGTGTCAAAAAGTGATCGAAAATTACCTCAATTGAATTGACCGAGGTGGTCAACTGAATGATATTGGGTTTCACATATAACGCCAAGCTTCAAATTTTATATTGAAAATGGAATTTCATGAAAAAATTATTTGCAATACATTTATTCACTCTTATTTTGGAAACCTCAAAATGTATAACCCTGTATCTATAAAAATAACGGAAGATTGGAACTCACTTTGCTATACATCTCCATTAGATGTGATGATTATATGCTGTATACACCGAATTGAGATTCCTGGTTCCTGTCACCGACATTCTGATGCACTGCTTCGATAATGTAATTTGAACAATTTGTTCGAAGGACCTGTTTTTGGACGAGCAGTGCATGTTGTCGTTTCCAACGGATCCTGTCTCCAGTTGAAACAATATTTGGACCATATTTTGTATGAAATTCTCGAACTACGGTCGCCAAACTTTTATTAGTTTTAAGCATTTGCTACGTAAATGGCGGTAAATTCAAATTTTGCTTTAATTTTGGGACACCTTAGTAATGGAAAAGTTGTTCAAACCCGCCTACGAACGGCCGCGGGGTTATTATGAGTAGCTTTATTTTCATGCCAGAAATACACTCGAAGGGCTTGACATTCCCTGCGGTGACTCGACCACAATTAGACAAAAATAATTTTCTATAATTCTTGTTAATGTTGAACGGAGAACTCGAATCCTGGCCTTGGGGATGACTGTAAATACTATATTACTGGTAACTCCCTAATGAGCTTTGATGCTTTGGTGCGACCCAAAAGCTTATTGATATATCTACTAATTATGATTAAATATCTGATAAAACGAATTTCCCCCTCCTTCATTCAGTGTGTTTTATGTACTGTTAAAATTTTTATTGCAGATTCAGAGATGCAGATACCTACATTTATGATCTTCAGTAGATTTCATCCTTAATTTACAACTCAACTAAATATTAATATATATTTGATTTTACAGCAATATGCTAAAGTAAAGGGAGGAGAATCCTCTCCTAGTGTGTGTATGCAGATGACTTGCCCTATTAATTGAAAATATTCGTATCGAATCATACTCATGAACAAACGGTGGTGAGGAATTTGTGTTAAAGATTGCTGTGGTGCATGCCAGCCCTTAGCACGTGGTACATGAAAACTTGATTATACTTCAACTCGCTTTCACTCCATTTGCTGATAAAAATGGGCGCGACCGCTTCGACCAGCGGCTATCAAATGCCAGCCGTAACCAGCAATAGTGGGGGAGGTAGTTCTGGTTTATTGCTGCCGTCCTCAACCGCTATGTCAGCCAGTTCTTCTGGCAGTGGCGGTGGCCCGGGTGGCAGCTCATCAGCTATGAATGCGACAGGCGTTGGCGTTCCTCATTTCCGGGAGCAGCGGCGAAAGCGAGTAACCGGATTTGCAACGCTTAAAAGGAAATTCATACGTCGCCGACGCTCTTCAAAAGCCTGTGATCATGCGCGTGTCCTTCGGGATTTTGTATCCGATTGGACGCCATTAGAGTTGGCGGCGTTGTGTGAAGAATATGAAGCATTGGCGGCGCTAAGGGACTTATCGGTGAGAAAAATAAAAACGTCATCCATATGTAGCTTCAAAACTATTTTAATTGATGCTGAAATGTCTTGGTTCATTTTTAGGTGCAGGCGGAATTGGCGCGGCCACCCGCAACAACATTCAAGCAGGACTTAGCTGCAATTTATGAGATGAAAACTTGCACAGACTGTGACCTTGTGTTTCGCGGCACTATATTTCCGGTGCATAGATCTATACTATCATCTCGTTGTTCGTATTTTCGAGATTTGTTGGCGGGTTGTCCGGGTTTTGGTGCGCGTATTTGTCTCGAACTGCCAACCTCGCCCATCGATGTGCAGATGTTCTCATCGTTATTGCGTTACCTGTACACGGGCGATCTATGTCCACATGACCCATCTATTGACATCGGCTTGTTGCGGCAGTTGAGCGATGATTTTGGCACACCAAATCCGTTGGAGCACGATCTGCGATATTTGCTTGAGACGGGTGATTATGCAGATGCCGCATTAGTGTTCACAGTTGAGGGCAATGATTATCATCGGCCCGATTCAGGTAGTTCTGAGTATGGTTTTAGGCCAAAATTGGAGTTGCCTTGTCACAAGGCTATTCTTAGCGCTCGCTCGCCATTCTTTCGTAATCTCATAGCACGTCGAACGCGCAACATTGATGAATATACGGAACGAGCATTGCATGTGCCAACGCGAATTGTGCTAGATGAGACGGTGATACCGAAGAGATATGCGCGGGTGCTATTACATGCCATTTATCTGGATACAGTCGATTTGACACTTATATTACGTGGTGCTGGATCTGGTAATTCGGCAGGATCTTTGGGTGAGGTGCATGCGTTGACGAATACCGGACGTGCGCGTCCTACACCTTTGGAGGAGGCTATGGAGCTTTACCAAATCGGCAGGTTTCTCGAATTAGACATTTTAGCGCAAGGTTGCGAGGATTTGATACTTGAGTGGCTAACGTTGGACACACTGCCCACGGTATTGAGGTGGGGCTCGCAGGTAGGAAAATGTTTAATACATAAAAGAAAAGAGTATTTATTTCATGCACTTCACAGGCCCACGGTTCGGCTTGGGTATATCGACAAGCATGTCAATATCTACGAGAAGAATTTTCAGCAGTTATTGCGTCACCGGTGCTGCACCAGCTCGATAAATCTCAGTTGATACATGTGTTGCAAAGCAACTTTCTGCAGGCATCAGAGCTCGAGGTACTGCAAGCTGTGCTTAAATGGGGCGAGCAGGAGCTCATCCGACGTATGGAAGATCGCGAACCAAATATCGTGTCGCACACAGCACACTCCGTTACAAGAAAGGGCGTGAAAAAGCGAGATCTTAGCGATGTTGAATTGCGAGAGATTCTATCGGAATTGCTGCCATTAGTTCGTATGGACCATGTTTTGCCGCCCAATAGCGAAGTGCTCGCACAGGCTATACGACGTGGCTTGGTGAGTACGCCACCTTCGCATATGATTAGCGATGATAGAGAAAACTTGCGAGTCAACGCTTGGATACGTGGCGGCAAAAACCAAGGTCTCTTTGTAAGGCCACGTCTTTTCATGCCGTATTTTGAAGAAGTGAAAGTTTTACTCGAGGATAGAATGGCGTCTTCCCATCACCAGGCTGAACTAATGCGCATGCGACGGTCACGCCATCTGCCCGACATACCGGATACCTTGTACATGGTGTCTCGCATAAGCGCAGCTAAAAAACCAACCGTTCCGACAGCAGCTGCAGTAACAGGTAAAGAGAGTGTTAACATTTTGGCTGCGGCAGCGGCTATACCGCCACCTGACACACAAACATTGGCCGCATTGCTGAAGCGAGAGCATAAATTACACCAATCACCAATGTGCCAGCGTGCACTGCTATTGCCGCTCTCGTCCAAGCACGAAATCGATCGACAGATACGTTTGCGTGTGGTGCGTGAATTCAATCTGCCTGATGCAGTGTCAGACCTGTTGGAGACGTCGTTACTAAGCAAGCAAAATGCTGCAAATGCAGCCGCTGCGTCAGCTGCTGCCGCTGTAACAAGTGTTGCAGAAGACTCTGGCATCACATCTACTACTCAAACTGATCCAGCACTCATTGAAGATGAAGACCAAACGCCACCACCATCCCCAGCTGCAGCAGGATCTGTGCCACGACTCACTGTCACTGGAGGCTTCCTATCGACATCCGTTGGTTCATCGGCAGCATCATCTACGTGTGGCGGAGAGGGCATACAACCCTGTTATAGTCGAAACTTAACATTCCCTCGTCAGCATCCTGGCGGTTTACTTGGTTTAGGAAGCAGTGTAGGTATAGGTATGCTGACAAATGTCGGTGGTGGCGGCAGTGGGGTACTTCAAGCGAATTACGCTCGCTTATCGGCCTCCGTGCATCATCGAAACGATTTACCTGCGTTAATTACAGAAGGGGATTATAGATTTCCACATGGCAGCGCTTTAGGCATAAACGTAGGTGCTGAGGCCGGTGGCGCAGTCGGCTGTGGAGATGGTGGCAACGGTGGCCATTTATCGGACATGATGCCCGATGTAGCCATGGCGACAGCATCATTGGGACAACTACATTTGGCGAATAGCGCCAGTAACAGCAACAGTGGTGACATGCATGAAAGTTTGCAACTCGATTTGGGTGACGGATCAAGTCATTTAATGGGTAGTGGCGCGCCTGGCGCTGTTGTACCGATGGGCTTACGCGGCTTACAGGTAACACATACAAATTGCTCGGTTATGTATATTTATCGCACACAATTTCATACTTTATTTGTACTTTAGCATCAACTGCCGCCAAGCAATTATCACCACTTCATGCAACGCTCAAATTCACCATTCGATATGCTGCGCCAAGGGCAGCATTCACCGGCACCGCATCCACCACCTGGGAGCTACAATTCAGGGCCGCCCAGATTCTTATAGAGTTTGCGAGTGGCCCCTGATCAGGGCCTTTATTTTAGCATGCCTTTTTGAGGAACACATTAAAATTTATCCAAAATTACGTTGCGGGCATAATTTTATGAAAACACGGCACCGCGCATATTGAAACTTGCTCTTAGGATAACCAACCGAAATACATACATATATATTTAAACAAATAATTGGCGATTTATACTATTAGCCATTTTCGGGTGACCTCCTTCTGCTCTTCTTGGTGTTTATCCAAACAATGGAGGGACCTACAACTTTATGCCGCGAACGGCTAATGGATTTTAATGAGGAGTGATCCCCATAGTAGCACGTACTGCTACAATTTTTCTACGGCGATCGCCATTGCATGCAAATTCATACAGCCAATTTCATCAGTTACTTTTGAGTGGCGCAGTTTACAGCAGAGGATCAACTACAAAAAATTGCCTCAGTGCTGGATATTATTTTGTATTGGGATTTTTTCATTTACAAAATTTCGCATATCAATTTGATAATAACTACGAGGCGGAGCACAATGATTGCCACCGAATGCAGTTTCCATATGCGTAATTCTATTAGTAGAAAGTATTATGTGGGAGCCCGTGCCAAAATCCTGTTTATATGATATTGCACTCAAAATTCAAATAAAAGCTAAAATAAGGGACAAACATAATGAAATGAAGTAAAGTTACACAATGAAAGAAAATAAGACATTACACTCGCACATAAAATAATTAAAATAATTTTTAGCCCAGTGTCAGATGGCAAGAGGAGTAATCAGCGGAAAGGTGCTACGTTACATCCTTTCATTGTAAAGTAATGTAATAAAATGCAAAGATAGGTAGGAAAAAGAAGGGAGTACAGTGGCAAATACCGATTGCATATAAATATTTAATTAAAAAACTAAAGTTGTTAGCAAACAAAACCCGTTAAAATGTGTGGATATATGTATATACAAATTAAAAATATCTGAACTTGCGTATACACACTCAAGTATTAAATTATTTAGGTTCGAAATATTAATAGCATACGTACAATTGTATAATATATATATATATATAAACAAGCAGTTAGATAAACACCTTTTTTCCTTTAGGTAAAAAAGAAACATACACAGAAAGCGTTTGTTTCTTGCGGTGCAAGCGAATCATAAATATTTTGAGTCTGCGAAAAATTTAGCAGGAAACCGCAACTGTTAATGAATATTCTAAAAAATCGTTAAGAAGTAAATTAAATTAATAATTTGTCAACAAATAATAATTTAAATAAAATAGATATTATGCATTTGTATGCGCGTCAACCGTCAAATATTTCATTTAATTTTCCATCAACTCTCAGTTTGGATTAGTTGTCATATATTACATCGCTTTCAAATTGAAACATGCATTTTAGATCTGTCCAAAGTTCAGCTCGGACATTTTTTTTTTTTTTTTACTAATTTTCACCCCTCGCGCTTGTTCTTCATTGTGAGATCTCGAAATGAAATCATCGGTCAAGTAATAGAACAATCAAAACTCCTTTCTTATTTCATATACGTCATGTGCATCTACAATAATTATTTCGAATGATTTTGTCCAATATATATATATACATATATAAATATAAATTATTTTTAAATTGGATTAAGGTTGTGCAATATGTACAATATTATTTATATTTGTTTACTTGATGTTTAGGCAATGGCGCTATTTTTTTTTTTTTTTTTTTTTTGTTGCTTGCTGCCAACTGAAATATATGCTATAAATATGTTAATAGATTTTGAATTAACAAATTGAAATAAAATAACATTTTTTTAAGCGAAATGCTGCGCAGCTTTTTTTTTTTAATAAATAACATGACTTATACATTTGTTGCAAGTGTATATTTCTTCCCAATCATAGTTTTTGGGTATAAGACATTTAATTCGCTATTTTTCGAATACCTTTGACATAAATGAATCAAATATTTCTCATATATACATACATACCTTACTCTCATTGTTATTTTTTCATCAAAATATGGCATATACAGATGTACCTATGAATGAAAATTCTCATTTTATCTATGTATATGTAATAGTTAATTCTTTTTCGACTGTTCGATTTAAAAGATAAGCGTTTTTTTTTTGAATTTTTTACATTAGTAAACAAAATCTTATTTTCAATGTACCTATTAAATATGTTCTTTATATACTACATACACACTTGCTTGTGTTTAAATTAAAGCGAATTTGAAGAGCATTAAATCGTAAGCTTAATTTAGTTTCATTAAGTATACTAATTGAATATATAATATATTTATTACAAGTCTAATAATAAGCACACTATACTATTGTCTAAATATGCATTAATACAAACATACCTAAATATGTTTATATTTAATATCGTAATTTAAATTAATTAATATACAACCAAAATTTCGCAGATGTTACAAAAGTTCATAAGCGCAATGCAAGCAAAATCTCTACCCCATAAAATGTTCAGTCCAACCAAAACACAAAAAAAAAAAATAAAATAAAAAAAAATTAGTAATATAATAATATAATAAAAACGATATACATATATATGTATTTAAATCGCTAAATATGAAGAAAATTTAGCATACAAATATTATATGAATAATTATATATATATACATAAATATATGAAATAATAATTGCATTGATAAAAATAAAAAAGAAAACAACAAAAAAATATACGGAATATCGTTTAAGAAATGTTGTATTTGGAGAGAAAAAAATTAATAAAAACGACAAAAAATGTATAAAAAATGCCTTCACTAAGTTCTTTCTAAAAACATATGAAGTAAGGGCAAATTATGGATTTAAAGCCAGAACCCGTTAACATGACCGGTAATCAAATGTGCAAGAAGACCGTTGCGGGTAGGAACAAGGCTAAAAGTATCATATATATGTATATATGTAATTCCACGGATTTTAGAAATTTTACTCAATAAGAAATGTAAACGTATGTACACACACATGTATATTCTCATATCAGAAATCCAGTCTTTAAACGTGGGCGGTAATGTCAATATGTGTGCTCTCGTACAAGTTTTCGCCAAATCTTACTTAGCTTATTAACAAAATTACGTTTAATTTGTACTTATGTACATGTGTACGATCGCCAATTAAGCGATGAGAGATGATCACAAGGTTTTTAATGAAAATAATTCAAAACAATTTTTGCATGATTTTGGAAACAATTTGTTCGCTCTAATTTGGAATGTTGTTTGAATTTGAATGAGGTTTCAAGTATGAAGAGGCGATAATTTTAACAACAATTCCAGTTAAATACAAAATTTTTAATTCAACATGAAAATATTGAAGTATTTACATACGAGTACGTACGAAAGCAAACGTTATTGAACCTCAATTAACTACTGGACATAGTCATTCACACTCAAGTACCGTTATTTAAAAATTTCTTAGCCGTTTTTTACGTTCTTTCATTCTTACAGACATACGAGTATGTATGTATGAACACTTAAGTTCTTGTTTCTTGTTTCCAAATTAAATAATTTAATTCGTTTGCTCAAAGAAGGCAAGCAAAGTCAAGGTCAATTTTTCTCTTGCACCGCTAAAGGAAAATTTCAAACGTAAAAAAATAAAATAATTAAAAAAAAAAGTTGTTGGGAAGGAGGATGTGACTTCTCTCAGGAAAAAAATATGTCGATCGGCCAGTAGGCCGATCATTAACTACGCTACACCGATCTGGACGCAAACATGTCAGAACACCGTCCTGGGGACTCCATGCACCACTTACCCAGAGAACCATGTTGTTGTCGTTGTAGCATTGTGAACCATCTATGTTATGCTGTGTAAGCAATATATGCTACCAACAGACACCTGGATGCTAAATCGCCACCTAAAAGCTACTCCACTAACCTCTCCCTCTGGTTGGAGCCCATCGAAACTGCTCGTTTTGTGGGCTTACTACACTAGTCACCTCTTTGCAGTAGTTGTGATAAAACTGCCGCTGTTGCGGTAAGGTAAATAGAATCTGCTTGAAGTGAGAACTTGAAGGGATTACTAGCTTCGCCGCTGTTCGGATTGTGTGGTCTTTGGGGGATGGAGGGTAAATGGATTAGTGGAGTCAGAGGGGATCATTTACTGTTAGGAGCGGCATTAGGTTAGTGTTCATTCGACAACTAGGAGGTTGATGTGGAATCTTGGAACAAGTTTCCTGGAATGAGTGTGATGCCTGTGGGGAGAGAAAAAATTTCCTTTAATCAAGTTTGGTCTTCTTTGAAATCCAACTGGCAATCATTTGGCTTGCTCAGTTACGTTCAACAGAATCCAGGCGCTATTGCAGTTACGTTATTAAGTAAACTATTGCACATAACATTATAAAAAGCTTAAAAACGCATTCGAAAAGTAACAAAAAGGCTTTCTTCGTCTCCATAATAAAGTTGATCTCTCTCACCGTCTGTGAATAAGCAGAGGCCATATAAATCGAACCGGCTTATAAGCTTACTCGACTCAATCCGACAGACTATGCGCACAACAAACTTGGCTTAAACGGTTTGGTGCGAACCATTGTAAATTTAGTTGGATTTCAGTGCGCGAATCGTACGGTTGGTCGCTACGCAGAAGACCCAAACATATGTACGTAGGTAATGCTCGCGTACAAAAACAACCGCCGGATTTGTGAAAGGAATGCAAACAAATATTTTAAATAAGGATTTAATTGTGAAGAAAAACTATTTAACTAAGAAAAACAAACATTATAGTGCAAACAAAACACATTTTGACTGAATTATTGGTGATAATACGAAGGTCTTGGCGAGAATATTTATACACAAAGCACTTACAAGACCAAAAAAAAAAAAAATAAACAAAACGAAAACTGCGGTATTGAAAATTTTGAAATTTTGTGTTGAAAATGTTGCGCTCAAAACGGTTTATGTTTTTTCCGCTGACACTACTATTATGTACCGTTGTAAGCGTTTGTTTCGCTGATGTGCGTAATTCCGAAACGGATGTGTCTTTAATCAACGATCATTTGGATTGGTCGGCAGAAGAGCACAGTGATACTAAGTATGCGGGAAGTGCGGTGGATCTTCATTTGCTGCAGGACGATAATGCTGTGCTGACACGCACCGAACGGCGGTTATTTGCCGACAGTTTGCGGAAAGTTGAGGGACAGAAATGCCGTGACGAGCTGAATAGTACACTTTGGGCTATTTTAGGCGGCCAACGTTGGGCCATCGCAAGTAAGTCTTTGCTGCTAAAGAACCTTCTCAAGCTCAAACGTTTGAGCATTAATTTGTATGTACGTAGCGTATGTGCGCAGGTGTACACGTAAAAAAGTACTTTTTCAAATTAGCATAATTTTGAATTTCTACACACGTTTGCCTTGCGCTTCTTGTCGTTGGATAAACTGTATAATTCCACCACTCAAAATTTATTTTGGGAAATCCAACTTGGTTAGAGCTCCTCAGGGTTCATAATATGGTACAAATAAAGCAAAGGAATGTTAATTAAGAATTAAGTAGATCCGAAAACACACGACAGCAATTTTTTTTATTTATCTCTTCAATGCATCTTTTGGAAGGGCAGAAAATTAAGGCTTCTTTTATAAATGCGCTTTTTTTTTAACGGTTTTCCAAGAAATGAAATCTCGTCCACTTGGTAGATAACAACCACGAGTTTGCAGTAGTGATACAATGGCTTATTAAATGTTGAAAATCTTTTAGTGGCCAATAGTTGGCTGATTGTCTTCTGTGAATGCTCTGTACTCTGCAGATTCCACCTAGTTTGAGGAGATGACATCTCAGAAGTAGATCCCCGTCAATACAGGCACAAGAGTACTAAGTTCTTGTTTACTTAATGCTGGTAATAGTATTGTGGTACGTCCTGTGTAAGTATTCCGGATCCTTAAGTGCTCCATGATACACTGCTTTAGACAAAATTCGAAGGCGCTGTTTGACCCGGGAGCCAGGTGTTATTTATTGTTCTTCCACGATGGTATCTTCATTGTCTCTTTCCGCGTTCTTATGCATTTCGACTTTGTGTTGATCTACTTAATTGCCCTAATTGTCTACCAAAAACTCCTTTTAAAGCGGTTGCCAATTAGGCAGCTTGTGTAATGAGAGAGTTGACTATTTCCAATGTGCCATAGAGAGTGCTATTTTCTATTTCTAATTTTGAAAAAGCTCTAAGGGTACTCACTTCTCTCGCGTGTTTAAAAAAAAACACGGCTAAGACATCCTTAAATATCTGCTTTAAAATTATATTACGAAGGAAGCCTCTTATATTTCGATATACGAGTATGAGACCAGAAACAACCAATCGAAAATTGCTTTATTGTTTTTCAAAATACTCTTCATAAAGATCTACTTTTGCATGCGTTCGAACCAATTGTGGAAGCACTTTTGTCACTCTGGTTGATGTGTCTCCAGAATAATCGTTCACAACACAACAACCAACCCTTTCTGGTGTCGAATAACGTTGACCATTCAGTTTATTTTCAAAGTACGGAAAAAAAAGAAGTCATTCGGTGCAGAGCCAGGACTACATCGTGGATGGCTCATAACATCGATGTTTGAATGCTCACAAATGCAGGTCTTCAGTCGATGTGGCGGTTGGCTTTCCTGATTTCTTGAGCAACTGGCACGCAAATTGTACCATTCAGAATTTACTGTTTTGTGTCGTTCTATTGGTACATTTACGCTAATTACAGTTTTTCCGAAGAAAAAAAAAACTGGCATCCGTTTGTCTCGAAGTGCTTCGTCTTGGAATGACCTAGGATCTCGATTTATTTCACCATACTATCGATAAACACTGGTCCTTGTTGTAGCTTCGTTGCGAAAAATTGAATAAAGTTTATCGATACATTTGCTTCCTTCGAAATAACGGTGCAGAAATTAGCAAAAAAAAAAAAAACAAGGGTTGAATGAAAGAAAAATTGCTGTGTCTGACAACACCTTTAGTGGGTATGCTTCCATATGAGGATACACGCTGACAACTTGCGCGTTTGAAGAGTGCAAATATTTGAAGCCAGCAAAGTTTCTTTAAGTACATACAAGCTTAAATAGAAAGTGTTTACTTACAAAACTAATATTTTTCTTATAAAAAAAATAGAAAAAAATAAAAAAGCATTGTTCTCTACTAAGAGGAGAAAATTAACGAAAAAAAATAGAAAAATAAATTGCAAATAGCAATTACATATAGTATTACTTAGTGAGCATTGATTCAACGGAAATCGTTAGCTGTTAAACTTATAAACACACACACAAATATTTTGATACGAACTGATTTTTAAAAAGTATTTGTAATAAGTAAAACAATATATTATTGTAATATATTATAATTTATTCTAATAACTTGTTCGGGATCAAAACATTTAATGCAAGTGGAAATTAATTGAACGTCGAAAATATGTCAATTAAAATAATACCAACAATTACTTATATCAAACTATACATACATACATATATAATAACTTTCGCTATGAAGAAAAAACTAGAACAAATATTTAAAGGGATCGGACGACGACTTTTAAATAATGGAAAAAATCTTCAAGGAACTACAATTAAAATCTTACAGCATTGAAATATGGAGGAATTAATGCACATTTCTCAGCATACTATTGTGAATAGACGACAATTTGCATTGACAGAAGAATCAAAAAGGAATGGGCAGTGAAAAACACTAAAACTCTGTTGGGTTTTCAACCGTAATAAATAATTAAATAAATTTAAAATAATAGCGATTTTCATTAAGTTTATGAAAACCATATTTCCATTAAGTTAAGAAAATATATATTTTAAGGCACCAACTTTTTTTTTTTTTTTGATTCTGATCGGTGCTTTATAATTACGTGCATGCACCGTTAGAAAATTAATAACCTTTTTAAACTTTTTGAAGACCGTTGCTTGATTTTTACTCAGCTCGGTTTGTCATTTTATAACTAGCAGATTCGCAGACTTACTCCGAAATAACGTTTGAACGAGTAAACTTATTACCAAACCCTTGTTCGGCCGACGCATCGCGCGGTGTGTCCAATATTGGGTTGAAAAAATGGCCCCACGTTTACTCTTTTACATAATGTCGTACAGAGTGCGCCGAAGAAACTTCTGCTGCAATGGAGTAGAGTATGCAAGAATACCCGAATGAGTTCACCATCGCTCGCAACAAATAGAGCTGCGCTTCCTCCTTATAGAAGACTTTTCGAAGGTATCTTGACCATCAAGCGTGTAGCACCACAGGTTCGGTCTAAAACGAGATGGCTACCGACCCCGATTTTCACAAAACAATTTTATGCAGCGCTGAAACCCACGTTTGATTGAATCGGTACGTTAATAAACAAGATTGTTGCATTTAGAGTGCAGATAATCCAAAAGCTATTTTTGAGAAGTCGCTCAATGGGGTAAAAGTGCTCTAAAAACGAGCATTAGAGCAAAAGTGGAAGTAGCAGGCAGATCCATAAGCGTTGAGCTTTTATAAAGCGAATGGTGCCAAACTCATCTGCAGTGTCCCTCATTATATTGTAATATTTCAATTTGCATTTACCTCTTCGGACCAAAATTTGCTAAATTCAAACATTTTTATGATAAATTTTCTTAGTAATTCTTCAAATAATTGCAATTATATGTATTTGGCACTTTGGAACTCATGGTTTTGGCCGAGTTCCTCCTCCAATTCGTGGATTGCGTCTGGATATTTTTCCGCCCTCGCACGGTCGAAAGATTATTATGCGGAACTTTTTTAGTTAATGTCAAAAATACAATTGATATTCCCTGCGAAGGGACGACCTCAGATGTTGGTCGGTCCAGGACTCGAGCCCTGGCCTTCCCAACAACAATATGCAATGCTAAGCACTTGGCAATTGCGACCGCCAATGAAATTGCGCGTTAATAAAATTAGCAAATTCGCTTGGTGCAATAGGGTATCAGCAATAATATAGAAATTATCGCCATTCCATTATAGAAGCCACTGTTTGGGATCCCCTATGAGCAGTGGAAATCAGTCATGCATATTTCTTCAAGAATGAAACCGGTCATAATGTTATAGTGAATGGGTTAGGGACGTTGTGCCATGAGCATCGTGGGCCTGTGGCTTAGCTTCCAAAGGGGCCGACCAAACTAAAATAAAAAAAAAATATTTATAAATGCGGTTGCCCCCGGCATGCAGTAAAATTTCTAGCCATCCGTTGTCTGTCGATGGTGTATTGAGACATTTTATCAACCGATTTCAAAGAATTTAAGGAACAAACATTCAGTCAACGGCAACCATTAATCTTCTATATATGTACATATATAAAAACCTTTCTTTGTATGGTTGTTTTCAATGGTTTTCGAAACTACCCGAAAATTTGTAAGTTTGTTCCTATGGGTTCTTTGGATTTTTTTAAGAAATTTTTTCCGAACCGAGCTATTCAAAGCTATTGTGTTTCTGGTTCGATTTACTAGGAACTCGGTACATAAAATGCCTTATACTTGGATTAGCATGAAGGTATTCTTCTTTCCACGATCTAAGCCAGGGACCGACCCATTCGAAAAAACATGTTTATGGGTTTCATTCCTTCAAATTCTTTTTTTCTTTTTTTTCGAAAGAAAGTGAACCGAAATAGTGTACATATTCATTGCTAAGTTTGGTTAACTTTTTGGGTGATTTTCCTACTTTTGTTTCCTGGAAATAGACCAGTGACTTCGATTCTAGTTCCATTTTCTCGAATTATCAATATTACTTTCTTTACGGGAAAGGGAAAATTAGTATTAATTAGATATAACCTGTTATTATTCTACAGCTGCGGGTGAGTGTGGACAAGCATAGATCCGAATGGTGCGCTTGGCTTACTTCGAGGCGTTGATGTTGGCATTTCCGGGCAAGACTTTGAGCATTGAAAAAGCCACCCACGCATACAAATATGTAGTCAGATAAATAAGATAATAAAAAATTTAATATTTCGCACTTGGTAATGCTCATTAGAATAAAAATTGGACATAATATAAAAAGTCCCAAAATCGTTTGGCGGTTCTTCTAGTATTTTTAAAAAACATCTTTCTTATTTCATTCAACATTAAACCCAAAATCTTGTTCTTATTAAAATTACTTACATGAATGTTTGTTCAAAGGCTTTCTGCGCTTGGAAGCTTAGTTTTTTCTGTTCAAGCTTTTTGAAGCTGTTGGTGAAACAAGAAACGAATTAATCTTAGCGTGACATCATCCCTTGAAGAAATACAATTTGTTACTGAAGCAGAGCGGAACC